GCTCTGCATGGCCTCCCCGACGGCCAAGGAGTTGACCTCGGCCTCGCATGTGGAGAATGGCACAGTCTGCTGGCGCACCGAACGCCAATCCACGAGCGAGTCCCACAGGCAGGTCGCCGCGCCAGTCTGTGCACCTACGTCTTCGAACGATGCATCGGCGAAAATGTTGACCGCGACCGTCCCCACGTCGGTGCCCTCGCCCCTGTCGTAGACGATGCCGCGACCGCGCGCGCCGGCGAGGTAGCGCAACACCTTCTTGCCAAAGGCCAGAGCAATCGCAGGCCTGCGAGTGGCCAAAGCCGCCACACGCAACGCGGCGTAAGAGATATCTGGGCACGTGCGGCTAGCAAGCCACAGGAGGCCGCCAGCCATGCGCTGGGCCAGGCGCACCTCGCTGAGGTCGACATCCCGCTCGTCGCCGTCGAAGTCAAGGAACTCCTCCTTCTCGAGATTGATGGACCCGTTGGACTTGCAATCACACAGCCCCCACTTCTCCAGCATTTCCTCCAAGTAACTCTTCTGGGAGATGCTGATGTCCCCGCCCCCGACGGAGATGTCGATGGAAATGTAGAGGACCGTGCCTGGGCGAGAGGGCCCAACGATCGGTTGGCCTGACGTTTTCCACAGCTCCCCAATGGACCGCCGCACTGCCTCCAGGACGGCCCCCCTTCCGAGGATCAGGAAGTCGCCCACGCACGAGAGGAGATACCCTACCGGTTCCCTGGACTCGCTCTCCATGATCGCCCATCGCAGTTGATTGCACCAGCGTGCAGTCCTTGCCGCCGATGCGGACGACCATGCGCTCCAACTGCGAATCTCGTTCCTCCGCCCGCGCGCGGGGCGACACCCGCAACCCGGAAATGGCTTCTGGGCCACCCAGAGCCCCCCCTCCGGCACCAAGCCTAACTTGACCATGGCGGCTGGCGGACGGATCACCCGCTTGTGGTCGATAGGCAGCCACGCGTTCAAGAACGCTGTGGAGACGCCCATGGCGCCGACGTCCCAAAGTCGCTTTGCTGCGATCGCCAGCGCGGCCCGCAGCGAGGAGACGCCGAGGTTCGCCGTGCACACAGGCTCCGAGCTGTCCGCCTCGAAGTCCCCGCACAAGACTGCTCGCGCCTTCTTCCTGCGAAAGCCAGCTTCGTCGGGCGATTTGACGCCCGGCGCGACCTTCATTGGAAGGATGTCCTTGGCCTTCACCATGGTCCGCCCATGCTGCGTGAGCCTCGCGAAGACCTGCTTCTCCTGGATGCTGGTGAGCTCCGCTTCGAGCGCCTGGCGCCACTCCTCGCGTTCGGCCCTGACGCTCTTTGACAAGACGCTCATAGGGGCAATGTTCGGTCGCGCGCGATCTCCTTGAACTGCGCTGGGATGTCGTCGTACTCGTCGCCGTCGCCATCCCCCTCCTCTTCCTTGGCGCCCATGGGGGCGACGGTCGAGTTGATCTCGTCGTGATAGCGAAACATCTGCACGCGCACGCCCTCTGCCGAAGGAGTCCCCGCTGTCGCTCTGGAAGCCGCAACTGCCGCACCACGTCGGCATCGATGGTCCCGGGTGTGAGCGACGCGCCGTCCTCGGCACGCCGGGCACGACCATCTTGGCCCTGCGTCTACACCAGCGTCGAAAGGAGGCCCCCGCACAGGTCCACGAAGAAGGGGGCCAAGACGGCAGTGCGCATCGCGCGCGTGGGATCGGTGGGAGCGAGTCGCGCGCGCCGGGAACGTGATGTTCAGCTGAGAAGATGTCCTCTTTGTCCTCGCCTGCTCCTGCTGCTCCTGATCCTCCTCCTGGCTTTGCTGCCCCCTCGCTCTCCTCAGCGACTCCCCCTGGTCCTCCTCGCAATCTTGCTGCCTCCTCGCTCTCCTCAGCGACTCCTCCCGGCACCTCAACAGGGCGCGCCGGCGAGGGAACCACCACGTAGGAACTGGAGGACTCGATGATCCACCTCCGCTCGGGCATCGTGGCCCCGGGGTCCGCTCGCCCCACGAGCCATCCTCCTCCGCCCTCGTCGATCCCCAGAAAGACGCTCTCCACCGCCCTTGCCTCAAAAAGGCTCCGTGGCACGTCCTCTACACGTGCCGCGACCGCTGCGCCGAGGGCTGGACAGCCCGCGGGGCGACCATCTGCCGCCATCCTGGAGCACCAGGCGGCATGCCGCGTCGCGCGCGCCCAGAGATCCTGGCGATCCTCCATCGAGGGGAACGCGAGCAACATTGCCCTGGCTCGCTGCTTCACGAGCCCCACGCCCTTCTCTGCCCCCCCCCCCCATTCGCGTTGGACTCGCACCCCGGAGTGGAGGCCACGACGGCCCCCTTTTCGGCAAAATGGGCGCGAACGCGCTCTCCAGTAAGCTCAGAGGCTCGGTCGCCGCGCACGCGGCAGACGACGTCGGCGCCCTCGAAGAGCCGTCGCAACTCCGCGATGACGCGGTTCAGCGCCTGGATGCACTTCTCGGGGTGCTTGCTTTCGAGCGGCACCACGAAGTACCACGCCCTTCTCGCCTCGGAGCCTCCGTCGCCCTGCCCCTCGGCAGTGTCGTCGTTCATGTCCCCGGAAGCCTCTCCGGGAACATGATCCGCAGGCTCCGCGATGATGGTTGGCTCGGGTTCGCCGCTACCCCCCGGCTGACCCAGCCCCCTGGCTGACCGCGCGGCCGCGCCGAGCGCTGCAGCCACTTGCGCGAGCAAACGTCGCACGGCCAAGCATCCAACCGGCGAGGTCGAGCCAGCTGCCACGGCGGCCCCTGCAGCTCCTCCTGGTTGCGCGGGCGGTTCTCCCCCCACTCCGCCTGTTCCTCCAGCGACCTCCCCAACGCCCGCATCGGCGCGACCTGCCTCGCAACGCGCGCAGCGCTAGGTCCGCGTCCGCGGTGGCGGAAAACGCGCCAAGGAGGAAGTGGGCGGCCTTCCGCCCAGCGTCTTCTGGCCGCCCACTGGGCCACCTGCCCGCGAGGTGCGGGCCAGATAAGTCCACCGACAGCTGCCCGCCAGGGCGGGTCGCCGCGTCGCGACAGGAGTGCGGTTTCATTATGCCGGAGGCACCGCGGCAAACCACGCAGTTCTTATCGAACATCACGCGCCCGTTCTCCGCGCGCCCACATCAGCGCTGGGCGCGGCGCTGCCCCTGCAGGCCGCGCCGCTGCCATCGCGCGCAAACCTCGCGCGAGCGTCGCCATCGCGGCGCGGAAGCAGGCGCGTCATCTTGCGCCGCTCCTGCCGTAAGATCTCGGCGTTCTCCTCCGAAAGGTAGAGGGCGCCGTCGATCCGCTCGAAATAGACCTTCCTGCCGTCGGCCAGCTCCACGAAGCAGTCCGCCGGGCCCCACGCCATCTTGAGGCCGAGCGCCTCGATGTAGGACGAGAGAGGAAACAAGCGCTGAATGTCATCGCCGGCCACGTACACGATGTCCTGATGCATCCGCGCCTCCACTTTCCCCGTCGCTGTCCGAAGTTGGTCTCGGGCGCCGCGAACCGACGCAAGATCAGAGACTCCGCGAAGCTCATGCGTCGCCCCGGCATCCGCGAGCAGCAGCTTCGCAGACCGGGTGCCGACCTCGGCGATCGAGATGGTCTTCGCTGAGGGCCCCGCCTCCCAGAGCGCCAGCTCGCCCGAGGCCTGGGCGAGCGAGCCCTCGGGCGCTGCGCCCACCCCCATCAGGCTGAGGAGCTGGGCTGAAACCTCCGCCCTTGCAGCCAGCGCTGCGGCTGCCTCAATCGATCCGGCCGCGGGCGCCGAGGCGGTCGGGCTCGTCTCACTCCTCTCTCCTCCTCTCTGTCCTCGCCCTCGTCCTCGCCCTGCCCCTGCCTCTGGGCACTCAGCTGCAGCTGCGCGCGGAGGAGCGCGAGGGCGAGGGCACTCGTCGTTCCGGTGCTCCGTGGAGCCGCAATTGGAGCACTTGCCATCGCTCGCCGCGAGGCGCCGGTGCTTCTGGCGGCAATTCGCCCCGCGGTTGCACCCAGAGTCGCGGTCGAAGTACGGGCAAAAGCGCTCGCTGCCCTTGCCGGTGTCCTTCTCCCTGTTCGTATCCTTGTCCTTACCTTTGTCGCCGTTATTGTCCTTATCCTTGGTCTTATCCTTATCCTTGTCCTTGCCATGCCCTTTGGGGCCCCTGCCACCGGTCTTCATGGCCAGGGCTGCCGCCCGAGCTGCGTCGCTCTTGCTGCCCTCGCTGCCCGCACCACCTGCGAACTCGCGGGCCCCGGCGCTGAGGTAGCGCCACAATTCGTCAACCCGCGCCTGCGTGCAGACGCCGCCGGAGAGACCATGGAACACCAGGAAGCCATAGTACCTGTGCTTCACCTCCTGGTCGCTCTCCACCATCTTCGCCACGATCGTCTTCAAGGTCGTGAGCTGCACCGAAGGGTCTGGCGCGTTCACGCCGAGGGAGGCCAACCGCGTGACGATCAGCATCCAGCGCTGTAGCTCCTCGTAGGTGTTCTGCTTCTCGACGGCGCGCCCCTTCGAGACCGCGTCGAGGGCGTAGTCCTTGTCGGCAAAGGTCCCGGGCCCTGCCTCCACGAAGGCGCCGAACAGAATGTCCACGGTCGAAGTCATCCTCGTCGCAAGGCACGGCGACGCGACGCCAGCAGGCATGAGGTGGAGAAGAAGACCTCGAAGGCGAAGCTCACAACTGCTAAAGTTGAAGTTGATCGCCTCAGCCTCCGCCGCGATCCAACTCACCGGCTGGGATGGCCGAGTCCCCGGGCGCTGCAGGGGGCCATGGGACAGCTAGCTGCGATGAGCCTCGCTGACCACCGCCACCACGCGCGCCCAGTAGGCCTCGATCGAATGATGGAGGCCCCCCAGGTCGAGGGTGATCCGCTGCAGCCGCCTGTCGAAGATGGCCGCCTTCTGGCCCGCACTGCACTCCTTGCCGAAGGACAGCACGGGCAAGTCGGAGGCCTTGATCCTGGCCAGCACGTTCTCGAGCGCGCTGTCTCGCCCAGGCTGCTGTGGGATACCGTCAGCAGCAGCAGCAGCAGCAGCAGCAGCAGCAGCAGCAGTTCCGCCGCACGGTGGAGGCGGAGGTGGTGCACCGCCCCCTGGTCCTCCGAAGCCTCCACCGCCAGGGCCCCCAGGTCCACCAAAGCCGCGAGGCTGCCCACTTGGCCCGAACCCGCCTCCTGGGGCGCCGGGCCCACCGAATCCGTGAAGAAATCCACCTGGTCCGAGTCCGACTCCTGGGGCCGCGGACCCTGGGTAGCTGCCAGCAGGGCCGCTGCCTGCTGCGCCAGGGTCGCCGCTCGAACCCTGGATCGGCCCTGGCCTGCCGCCCGAGCCTGTTCCTGCAGCACCTGCTTGAGGCGGCTGTTGGGGAGCACCTCCAACAATTTCATCGCCCCCTCCATCCTGCTGATCTTCTCGCCCATCATGACGACCTCGATCACCACGAAGTCCAGGAGGGTCGTCGCAGCTCCCGCAGCCACCCTGCGGAGCCGTGTGGGGAGCACCGGCCGCACTCCAGGACTGGTCGTAGAGCTCGTCGACGTCTGTGGCGCCATGCCCCTGCTGGACGTCGACTCCACCACCTGCCCCGAAGGCCTCGGGGCTGACAGAGGCCCCTGAACGCGCGGACACGGCGCTCGCAGCATCGGCGCGCAGCTGCTCATTCTCAGCGCGCAGCGCCCTCATCTCTGCACGCATGGACCTGAGCTCTGCAAGAAGCTCTGAGGACACGTCCTGTCCAGACTCGCCGTGCGTGGGCACCTCGCGGCCGGACCCAGCGTCGGAGATGTCGTACTCCTCGACCAACGGCAGAGGCGCCGAAGACGAGGCCTGAAGGAACAGTGGCGCGGCCGTCAGGCCTCCGAGCGCCGACCTCGCTCCTTGGGCAGCCCCTATCGCGAGCCGCGCAGCGCCGCCCAGCGCGCCCGTCGCAGCTGCTCTGATCGCCCGGCCTGCCAACGCGCCGCCGCAGCCCATGGCACTGCCCAGGCCCTGGGCAGATGCCTGGAAGCGCGCCTGCGCACGGGCTGCGTCAAAGTCGTGCACGCAGGCGTAGCACACCACGATGCCTGCGCGCACGCCCACGCAGTGCGAGTGAACCTGCCCGCCGCAGCTCTCGCACTGGACGCTCGGGCCGTGCAAGTAGTCGCCGCACGACTGGCACGCCCGAATAATCCATGGTGGTGTCGATGTCATCGCATTTGGGCTCATAACCCTTGTGGACCCCAGCGGGTGCTGGTCCACCAGCGGATGCGCAGAATACAAGATGTTCTCATTCATCGCTGATTTCTGACTCTGCCAGTTCGTTATCGGCCACTGCGCTCAAATATGCCAGCAACTCGGCCCGGGAGGCCGGAAGCAGCCAGAATGGGCCCCACTGGGGCCGAGGTGGGAGCCCGAGAGCTTCCTTGAGGAAGAACTCGGCAGTTTTAGCCAGACGACGCTCCCAAGAGTTCACGATGGAAGCCAGACTGCGGCCTCCCCTGGATCTGCGGCCGCCCCGGGCCACCATACGAGGGGTATGGGAAGAACAGATGTGTTTCTCCAACCCCTCACTTGAGCCAAAGTCCACAAACATGTAGACTAAGAGCCAATAGTGTCGCTCGCATTCCCCTGTGAGACGTGCGCGGGCCTGTGCCTGCTATGCTGCACAACTGCTGACTCCTATATCCGGCTGTGCAGCCCCTTACAAAACAAATCGCTCAAAATGGTCCCGCGGCGTTCCGCTGTCCCATCGGCCCACGGGGCCAGGGGGAAAAACACAACATGTCATCACACGGGCGTGGTCTCCTAAGCCCGGTCTTAAGTAACATGTGATACATGTGCCGTGCTATGCTATGCCTCACGCACCGCAAGGCACGGCAACGAAAATGTAACGACATTCGGCCCTGTCGAGGCTGATGCAACTCAGTGTCCATATTCTTGATGAGCACATCTTCGGCGGAATGCCTGTCATGCTATGGCCTCATGCACCGCACAATCACTTTACCCCACACACACACAACACACACACACCCACATCACACACACACACACACACACACACACACACACACACACGAGGGAGGGAGGGGAGGGAGGGGAGGGAGGGGAGTCAGGCGGGAGGGAGATCGGGCTCGGCGTTGCAGCAGTCTGCGCGCCAGGGCTCGGAGAGAGGTCGGTCGGGCCAGTGGAGGGGGGGGGGAGGCGGAGAAGTGGCGGGAGGGGCCAGGGTAAAGAATGGCCAGGGGGGCTTGAGGAGCTTGAGGGGGGGCAGGAGGAGGAGGAGGACGACGACGACGAATACCAAATAGAGGCCAGTATGTCTCCGCTCGGCGATCCACGAGGCCTTCAGACGGGCCGAGGACTGAGGAGGGGGGGGGGCCAGGCGGGAGGCGGGAGGGATGGGGGGACAGAGCAGCATGGGTAAGCCTGCACGGGTCCTGGCCAGGCCCGTCCTGGGCCCAGGCTCGACCTGGCTGAGATCTGTGCCAGTGTACATGGCTGGTGCTCTCCGAAGCAGCGTCCTGGGCCCAGGATCGACCTGGCTGAGATCTGTGCCAGTGTACATGGCTGGTGCCCGCCGATGCAGCAGCAGCAGCAGCAGCAAGAGCAGCAGCAGGGCAAGGACCGGGAGGAAGGGAGGAGCGACAGCAGGGGGGGGGGGACGAGGGAGCGGGAGGGGGGGCCAGCGACACGAGATGGAAAACTGGGCGTGTGAGACCGATGCGCCGAACAGGTGCCTAAGCGGACGGAAAGACGGCACCATATGGCATGTCGCTCCACGGATGTGGGACACTTGCCCCTCGCCAAACCCCTTCCCCGGGAATCCCTGTCTGGCCAGTTTGCAGGAGGGGCAGTCCACACGGAAGGTACCAAGGGGGCCGGATGGTGCGGGGGGGGTCACCTGCTCCAGAAGCGCTAGCAGACGGCGCAGATGGTCTCCAGACGGCCCCAAGATGTCCCCAGACTGCCCAAGCATGCCTCAAAATCCACCATCATGCCTTGTGCACCTTGAGGCGTGGAAGAATGCCAAGGTCTGTCTGGTCATACGCCCCGCCTCCCCTACCCGCATCTCGTCGCATGCACCGCCCCCCCTCCCGAAGCCACGATCCCTCGTGAAAAAAATCTGGGTCCGCGTTCCCGACGCCACGATCCTTCGGAAAAATAACAGCATCTCCGCGTCCCAAGCCGGCCCAACATAGCTTCAAGACGGCCCAAGATACTTCCAAAGGGCGCAGAAGGGCCTCAAACGGACCTCCAACAAGGTCCGACGAAGCCCAAATCAGCGATGTATCTTTGATGTTTGAATGAATTGCGCATTCTCGCCTTTTCAGCTTACGTCAGCACAAGACGGCCCACGGGGCCTCCACGATGGTCACAAGACGACCCAAGAGGCTAACAGAAGAACACCAAGATGGCCCACGATGGCCCAAGAGGCATCCAAGGCGGCCCCAAGACGGCCCAAAAGGTCTTCCCGTGCTTTGTGGGCCCCGGAAACGGCAAGGCCGTTAGTTTCCAAAAAAATGTCCATTGAAAATGGAAACGGCAAAAAAACGGCGACCGGGAACGGCAAAAAAACTGCTCAAGGATCGGAACTGGAGCCGGAACCGGTCAAAAAACGGCGACGGAACCGGTAAACAAACGGCGTCTGAACCGGCAAAAAAACGGCAAAACGGAACCGGTAAAAAAACGGCCCTGTCGTTTCCAGGGCCCACTAAGTTCCCGTGGGACCCAAGACAGCCTTTGAAGGCCTTGCGACGGCCCAAGACGGCCGCATGACGGCACCCAGACTCTCACCATGCGGCCAAGAGGGCCTCAAGCTGGCCCAAGAGAGCCCAAAGACGGCGTAAGTGCCCCAAGACGGTTCAAGAGGGACCCAAGGGACCCCCAAGACTGCCTCACAGGAGGCCAAGACAGCTGCCCCAAGACGGCCCAAACGCGTTCCATGAGAGCTCCTCGAATAGAGATGAGGATGTCACATGTGACGGCCTTCCTCTTCCTCCTCCTCCTCCTCCTCCCCGTTCTCCTCCTCCGCCTCCTCCTCCTCCTCCTCCTCCTCTTCATCATCACCGCCACCACCACCACCAACACCGTCGTCGTCGTCGTCGTCGTCGTCGTCGTCGGCGGCGGGACTCGTCGCAGTCGTCGTCGGGTCTCGTCGTCGTGGTGGTCGTCGTCGTCGTCGCAGTGGTCACCGTCGTCGTCGTCGTCGTCGTCGTCGCCGCGGTCACCGCCGTCGTCGCCGTCGTCGTCTTCGTCGTCATCGTCGCCGTCGTGTTCGCCGTGGTCGCCGTCGTCGTCGCCGCCGCCGACGTCGTCGTCGTCGTCGTCGAGGTCGTGGTCGCCGTCGCCGTCGTCGCCGTCATCGCCGTCGTCGTGGTCACCGTCGTCGTCGTCGTCGACGTCATCGCCGTCGTCGTCCTCGTCGTCGTCGTCGTCGTCGTCGCCGTCGTCGTCGTCGACGACGCCATGGTGGCCGTCGTCTTTGTCGTCGTCGTCGACGTCGGCGACGGGACTCGTCGTCGTCGTCGGGACTCGACGTCGTCGACGTCGTCGCCGTCGTCGCCGCCGTCGTCGTCTTCGTCGTCGTAGCCATGGTGGCCGTCGTCGTCGTCGTCGTCGTCGTCGCCGCCGTGGTCACCGTCGTCATCGTCGTCATCGTTGTGGTCGCCGCCGTCGTGGTCGTCGTCGTCGTAGTCGTGGTCACCGTCGTCGTCGTCGCCGTGGTCGTGGTCGTGGTCGTGGTCGTCGTCGTCGCCGTGGTCACCGTTGTCTTCGCCGTGGTCGCCGTCGCCGTCGTCGTCGTCGTCGTTGTCGTCGTCGCGGCCGTGGCATTCGTCGTCGTAGTCGTCGTCGTCATCGCAGTCGTCGTCGTCGCCGCGGCCGCCGTCGTCGTCGTCGTCTTCGCCGTGGTCGCCGTAGTCGTCGTCGTGGTCGTCGTCGTCGTCGCCGAAGTCGCCGGCGTCGTCGCCGTGATCGCCGTCATCGTCGTCGTCGTCGTGGTCGTGGTCGCCGTGGTCGTCGTCGTCGTCGTCGTCGTCGCCGTCGTCGTCGTCATTGTTTTCGTTGTCGTTACCGTGGTCGCTGTCGCCGTCGCTGTCCTCGTCGTCGTCATCGCAGTGGCCGCCGTCGTCGTCGTCGTCGACGTGGTCTCCGTCGTCGTCGTCGCCGTGGTTGCCGTCGTTGTCGCCTTCGTCGTAACCACTCGTCGTCGCTGAAGTCTCCGGGCGTCGTCGTTGTCGTCATCACAGTGATCACCATCATCATCGTCGACGTAGTCGTCGTCGTCGTCACCGTGGTCGCTGGCGTCGCCGTGGTCGTCGTCGTCGTCGTCGTCGCCGTGGTCGCTGTCCTCGTCGTCGTCGTCGTCATCGCATTGGCTGCCGTCGTCGTCGTCGCCGTTGTCGCCGTCGCCGTCGTGGTCGTCGTCGTCGTCGTCGCCGTGGTCGCCGTCGTCGTTGTCGCCTTCGTCGTAACCACTCGTCGTCGCCGTGGTCGCTGGCGTCGTCGTCGTCATCACCGTGATCACCATTATCATCGTCGACGTAGTCGTCGTCGTCGTCGTCGTCACCGTGGTCGCCGTCGTCGTCGTCGTCGTCGCCGTGGTCGCCGTCGTCGTCCTCGTCGCCGCCGTCGTCGTCGTCGTCGTCGTCGCCGTCGTCGCCGTGGTCGCCGTCGCCGTGGTCGCTGTCATCGTGGTCGTCGTCATCGTCGTCGTCGCTCGGTCGCAGTCGTCGTCGTCGCCGTCGTGGTCGTCGCCGTAGTCGGCGTGATCGTGGTCGTCGTTGTCGTCGTCGTGGTCATCGTGGCACCCCTGTCGACACACTGCGCGGCGCACAGGCACCAAAACGGCCAAATGGATCCCAGAAGTGGCCCAAAAGGTGCCCAAGAAACCCGCAGGAGGGCCCCAGGCGAAGCCGCAGCGGAAAAATGCTAAAAGCCCCGAACGCCCTCCCCCACCAGATGCCCCGAAAACCCGAACATGCCCCTTGTAGATCTCCATGAAGTCCGAAGCGGACCCCCAGAGGCCCCCAAGAGGCCCCAAGAGAGCGCGGCGTTGGGCGATACGACCCCGCGTACGAAAGGCACCCAAGGATCCCACGGGGTCGGCGGTGCGGCGTAAGCCGCTGAATATACGCAGCACCCCGCAATTGCGGATAAGAGTGAGGGGGCAGGCGCGGGCGACGCGGGGGGGCCAAGCCCGGGCGCGGGCGGCACGGGCGGCGCGGTTGGGTCGAGGGGTGGGTCACGGAATGGGTCGCGGGTGGCTTTCGGGGCGGGCGGCGGGTGGGTCGCGG